AAGAACTGCCAAGAAGAAAACATTTTATGCCGACACGTTTTGTTCCTTGAGGCACTTTATCAAGGCAAACGTAGAAATTTTATCTAGAAACCCGAGAAAATCTATCATTGAGTAAAACGTCGGGTTATGCGTTCAAATTTGAATTCGAGAATGTTCTAAACCCCTTTACACTTTTGCCTTTTATAAAAATTATTCAAAGTATATCCATAAAGAAGCATAGACGACAGACAGCGCATTATCAGTGCTCTCAATCCTGGGCCCTCCCCTCCGGTTCTTTTTCATCATTTCTGAGCCTCGCCTACCTGTGTTCTTGGCTTTCTCTTTATCTTTCTCTGTGGGTCGAAGCTCAAGATCTGTCTGGGAATGTTGCTGGCCGATCCAGCTCCACTCTTCGGATTTTTGCAGGGATTCATTCTTTATTTGTTCTTTTTAGTTCTTTATTAGTGATTTTTTTTTTGTAATAACTTTTTTCATTAGAAACTTTTTTCGGGTCAACGGACGTTTTTATGCAGACAGTGTTTGATGAATATTTGCAGTTGTGAAGTGTTGTTTTTGCCATTTTCCATGAGTTGGAAGCATACAGATAATTTAACAGATTAATAAATATTTCTATGAACTTTATGCCATCGTTTCGCTGTCCCATATTCTAAGCACTTGGGCACGCCCCTACCATCATATTTATAAAACCGAAACAAACCTTTCTTCTTTATTATTTTGAATGAAAAGAATAAAGTATTAATCTATCGTAGTACTACTAATAGATATTTGGTAAATTTAAATCAATTTCGGTTCAAGACAAATTTGAAGGAACATGAACTGCTAGACCATACTGCCAATTGGGGAGGACCAGCTTATTTTCAAAATCGAAATATTCTGGGTTAAAATGCTGGCGCCAAACTTCGGTTAATACTGAGACACTAACACATCAGAAAATTATAAAAAAATGAGATCAATATTGGTTTGTTAAGTTTCGTAGTGATCGGAGTTAAAATTTAGTTAAAGAGCAGAGTTCAAATCGCGGTAAAAGGCGGTGTTCAAACATAATTGAAACCCTTTTGATCAGAATTAAAACCAAAGTAAAAGGCAGAGTTCAAGCCGAGATAAAAAAAATAGAAATCAAATTTCAAATCTAGGTAAAAGGTAGAGTTAAATCTAGGTAAAACCAAGTGATCAAAGATCAAACTTATGTAAAAGGCGGTAATCAGTGTTCAACCATAGGTAAAATACACTGATCAGAGTAAAAAGGTCTCTTGATAAATCTACATAAAAAGATGAGATCAGAGTTCAACACACACAACCGCCCCCCAAAAAACAAAACGCAGGGGTTAAAGTTCAAACCAAGGTAAAAGGCAGAATTTCGAATGTTATTTTTCAAGTCATTGAGATTAACCTTATTTCGAATATATTAGAATATATTATCGTTTCTTAGTGTTTATCCTTATATCGGGTTTAAAACAATTTTAATAATCGCGTGACTGAGATATAGCATGCATTTGCTGACAGTATAATAGTTCGAACCTTGGTAAAAGTTAGGGTTTTGAACTAAGCTTAGTAACTCTCAAAATTAAGGAATGGTATCATTGAATATGATAAACATTTTGACTAATTTGGTAGTAGATCATGTCCTTCAAAGAATTCGTCAGACACAAATCACTATTTACATTATACGGACTATTGTCCTCATCTTTGTCACCATATTTCGGCCGTTGTACGCTACGGCCTTCTTCAGGTGGTTGGAATGTCGAACTGAACCCTTTATTTCGCTCACTGGGGTAGACTGTTCTAATTCCACATGCCATGTTCGATGGATGTCAGTTATCAGTTATCTCCTGTTAATTTCCCTCTCCAAGTTCTCCACTGCCTTAATTAACGTCTTTATCCACTGTTCCATGTGTCGACAAATGACACAGTGGATAAAAGCGTTAGTTAGATCCAGTGACGGGACACAAAGAGTGTGAGTTCAATACCTGGTTAAATCGATCTATCTATCTCAGTCAATTCATTATCAATCTACCTATCTATCTCAGTCAATTCATTATCCATCTATCTTAGTCTGTTCATTGAGGAAGAAAAGGACTGGAATTATTTTTTAAACTTTCAATTTCCTTGATTGATTGATTGGTTGGTTTTTACGACTTACCAACACTTTGCAGGTTATTTAAATCAGATTTTTTTTCATAAATTGTAACAATTGTTTTGTAGATAATAATGTTTTTGTGATAATATATATTATATATTAATATATAATATATTATAATAATTAACCCATAGCTTGGGGGAGAAGAAATGGATTCATATCTTTCCCAAGTGTATTTGCGCGTAAGTGAATAATAATAAATAGAATAGCAACTCGGCTCTTTGTTTATCAATTCTGAGCCACAATACCGGCATATCCAAGCTTACAGCACCTTCTATTCTCAAGCGATCACCCATTCAGGTATTTACCAGGTTCTAAGTTGCTTAACTTTGGTGATCTTACGGAAACCGTTGTTTTAACGTTTCAACGATGCGGCCGTAAGCTACCAAGATTTTGACTTTCTGATGTCATCATCAGGGGAGGTGGAGACAATTGGTGTGTTTAGCAAAATTTTGAAATGGTGTAACAACGCTATTTTTCTAAAAGAATCTGTTCGAAGTATGTAATGAAATGTAAGTATAAAATGTTTTCTAGTTCAAGTTCTTGCCTTCTAAAACCACAACAGTGAAAACCCCGAAAAATATAAAACTTTCATTATGATCTAATTCAAAGATCTTCATCTAAAATAATTTATCTTATAGAATGAAATAATATAAAACAAACATTTATCAATAATGTGTAACGTAATTATATAGTCAACAAGTAAATCAAATTTCGTTAAGCAACAATTTTGATAATAAAACTTACAATCAGAATCATATTGACAATAACGCCATTAACATAGACAATAGAATCCCAGATAACCGGACTAAAAAGGCCTTCCAGATATGAGGAATTGGTCCGGATATGAGGGTTTATATTTAGATTAAAATAAAAGAACTGAAATCAGGTCTAACATTTATTTTCAATGTTTTATAGCAAACAAAATAAACTAATGGTGAGTGAAATTTAACGGAATTGATTCTAAGGAAAAAGAAATAAATTATATAATGTTAATGAGAATTCATTAAATTAAGTATGCCATGTATGCAAAACAAATAATGTAACGAGGATTTTTAATTGCTGTTCCATGATGAATCTTTCTCTTCTAATGCCATTCTCAAATTTTCTGCATTTCATTTTGTTTTTGTTCTTGAAATTTTTTTTAACTCTGCGTGCATTATTGGAATCGTCACAGCTGAATGCTGGCTTTCTTTCCATAAAACTGACAACCTTTTCAATAGCTTTTTCAATTTCAATCCAATTTCATCACAATCATGCATCTCGTCGCAGATGTGTCTCGTTGTCATCCTTTCCTCTTCTTCCCATCATCCTTTGCACTAATACAAGCCATTAGGGTGAAATAAGCATAAGCAATTATCCAAAGTAAATTTCCTGAAAAGTAAAAAATTTCAAAACAGTTACTTATCACCCAAATAGTTCAAATATACGCATCAAAATCATGTCCGGATATGCGGGATTCCGGATATGAGGAACTCCGGATATGAGTATTCTGGATATGAGGGATTCTACTGTATTACCAAAATCAAATGCAGCACAATTATAAAAATGACAAATCAGTAATAAAAACCATCGTACATAAATATACAGGGTGTTCCAGAAGTCTTGGGCACATTTCAAGTCCTCATATCAGCTGAACTATGAATGGTAGTAAAAGGAAACTGGTACCATTTTAAAGCTAAATTCATTAAGTCTTTTTGTAATGCTAATGATTTTTTTCAGATCCAGTAATGCCATTCACTCAACCAGAAAAGGCGTTGTAGCGGGCGGTCCAGTGGCCCCGTATCACGGAAAGGGGTGAACGAGGTCACAAGAGGCCCGCTAACATTTTTGAAGACGTTAAATCTGACCGTGAAACAATATGGACGACAGAACGCGGATATATATGATATATATTTTATTCTAAAGGGAAGATGGTTGGAAACGGTGGAGGTGCTGGAAGCTTGGGAACTGAATTTCAAGTCCTGGATGCTGCAGGGTGCTGGATGCTGAGGACCGGATATGCAATGGCCGGATGTTGCAGGTTTATTCTAAAAGGAAATGAAGATGGTTGGAAACGGTGGAGGTGCTGGAAGCTGTAAAGCTGAATGCTCAAGAGTGTCAGAAGTGTGGTTTGATTCAATGCGACAGGGTAATGAAAATGTTTTTCAGAGTCGTCAGAAAAAATACTGTGAAGCATGGGAAGCAAGCGGTGGCGTGAAGATGCTGCCACGTGGTGTAGGAAAATGTATGCGTTTTTATGTCTTTTGAATTTATGACCAGTAAAAAGGAAGCGGAATTTACAAGATTAATAGCGACGAATTACGTGCATCCTCAGTGGTTCGTAATGGAACAGTGAGTCGTCCGGAAAAGTCGTCCATTCCTAAAACTTGTGTGTCGCTTCAAAGAGTTGTTTTGAAAATAAAGGACAGTGGGTCGCCTTTAGTGGTTCGGAAAGTCGTATGTAGTGGAACAGTCGTCCAGTGGTTTGGGTTCACACTTTATCTGTTTCAGTCCATGTTAGTTCGTATTGTTGCATCTGCTGGTTTGCTAAATGTTGAATATCCTCGTTTGCTTTATGTCGCCATATTGTCCAGCCAAGTCAGATCCGTCGCATATCGTCCATAACAAAGGGGTGAACGAGGTCACAAGAGGCCCGCTAACATTTTGAAGACGTTTATATCTGACAATGAAACAATAACAGAACGAGGATATATATGATATATAGATTTATTCTAAAACAAACAAGATTTAAACGGTGGATCCTTGTAAGAGTGAGCTGAATGCTACAAGAGTGCAACTGGATGCTGCAAAGCCGATGCAGGAGGAGCCGGATGCTGCAGGAAAAGGAGTGAGCCGGATGCAATTGGATAACGAGGTTGGCAGTTGCTAGGATCATCGTTGTTGGGGTTGAAGCTGATGTGGGTTGTTGCCAGGATGATCGCTTGGTGGTTGTTGATGTTGCATGCCAGGATGATCTTTGTTGGTTGTTGAAGCTGAGTCGTTGCCGGGGTGCCAAAGTTGTTTGTCAAAAGCAGTTCGTGTTGCCAACGTTGTTTGTCATTGCCTGGATGCCAACTTGACGTGTTGGGGAAGGAGAGAAAGAAAGTCCCAACATTTCAAGTTGGCAGACAAAAAAGAAATGGGAAACCACACCCGTAGATCTAATGATGGCAAGGGGCCTCACTAATTGTCCGCCGACAGCCCCCTAAAAGCTTAAATCATTGTCTTGTGTCGAGGGGACCAGCAAGAGAAATACCCGAAAAGATAAAAAAAATACTACAAGGTTAGCCAAATAACTATGGTCTAAAAATGACTGGATATTACAACTAGGTTTGGTCCAAAAAAGATATCCCTCTGACGTGTTAACAGTACAATTTCGAAAAGACCTGTTCCTCTGCTGGTTCAATAAAATTTTTGTGTCTTTAAAACTTTGGTTCAAAATTCCGAAAAGATTATATTGAGATGGCATTTTATCCGGAGTTCCTCATATCCGGAATCCTCCGTCAAACATTAGACAGCTATTGAATATATATTAGATATCAAATAATACAAACAGATATATATATATATATAAATAAAAAATCAATTATAATTAATCTCAGATGTATACATAAAGAAAAAACAGACCTCACTTATATCAGCATTTGCCTAACCTTTATCCTTATCTTACCTACCCAGATGATAACTTTAAAAAGTGGGAAACTCCATATTACTTTATCATTTTAAAATTTATTTTTAATATTTTCTGCCTCCTAAATATAATATATATATATATATATATATATATATATATATATATATAAAATTAATAGAGCACACACACACACATTATCATTTTAATTTACACACACACACACACACACACACACATATATATATATATATATATGAAGTGGACATTCCAGTGGTGACAGTCTGTTTCATGCTTACATTCAATCTTCAGGCCATCTTTCATATTTTAGATTTACATACGCTCTATCCCTAATATTGAGCACTTTTACTCATAGATATAGCAGATCTTACAACTGTATTTTTAGCATAAACATATATCCAACCAGAGTGCCATCAGACAACACATTAATAAGCAAAAAAAAAAAAACAGTTATAACTTAAGCATTTGCATACTCAAATGTCCAGAATAAAAAGTCACACCTCACATCAAAACACTCTTTGCCAACGCTCATTAATGCGCTACACGCTCTTTCATTCTTGATTCGTCTTTTTACGGCTTATCAACCCTTTGCAGGTTATTTAGAGTCAGAAAATATTTCAGATTGTAAGAATATTTTTGAAGATAATAATGGTTTAGTGATACAAGTATTACTAATTAATAGTTAGGGGCAGTAGAGGTTAATCCATACTTTTCCCTCATAAGTGAATACAATACACGGGGCTCTGATTAACAATTCCGATCCATTATCCCACCGAACATCCAAGCTTTTAGCACCTGGTATTCACAAGCGGTCACCTATGTAGGTACTGACCAAGCTCGACGCTGCTTAACTTCGGCAATCATACCGGATACTGGTATTTTCAACGTGATGTTGCCTTAAGTCACGTGCTTTTATCACATAAAAGCTTATTTTAAAAGAAATCGTGTTTTTACACCAATTAAAAAATTAAATACCAATTGTCTCTAGCTATCCTGATGATGACATAAGAAAGTCGAAAGCTTGGATATTATTCCCTGTACTTTTTTTTCTGAAATGAACTTCGAACAATTTCTGATGGATTTTTCTCTTTGTTTGAGAGATATTATTCGTAATATGGAAAAGTCGATGGAGGTGTGTGCGTGTGAAATAAAATAGAGTTTTATATATTTATATTTATAGTAAAAGTGCTCAACATTTGGGATAGAGCTTGTGGCTACAGATATCAACACCGAGTGGCGATAGTGTGCTCCATGCTTGAACGCAATCTTCAGGCCTGAATATATTCAAAAGCAAGAATTCATGAACATGCGCGTGTAAAAGAACGTTAAATTCACCAATGCACACGTGTACAAAACAGATTGCGAAAGACGCGGAATAAATGGAAAAAAAATGAAATAGCATTTAAAAAAAACAGAACCCCTTAAAAATGGACATTACAAAGAAACTTCGAAGTCGGGGAAAAAGTTAAGTAATCTTTTTCATATAATATTATTAGTGCTCTATTTTTTTAATATTATTTTAATATTTTTTAATATTGAGTGCTATATATAAAAATATCCGCTGTTTCTTAAAACTTAAATTTTCAATAAGCTCCAGGAATAAAAAACAACAAAAATTCCAAGTCGAGTACTTTTTGAAGACTATTGATTATATTTTCAAAAATATGAAATCAATCCAATTTCATTATTCATTAAATAATAATTTCGAAAATGACATAATAAACATAAT